AATTATTTATCAAAAAGTAATCAAGAACTATCACCTAGAGGGTATCCTGCGAAACACTTAGGCTCAAGCTGTAAGAGAAAATTCCAATTAGAAAAGAAATTAATTTGAAAATTTACTTAAAAATTAAATTAAATTAAAAATTAAAAATTGAATTCCTACGAACAAAACAAAATCAAAATAAACCTATTACCAACCTTTTCATTTCATTTATTCCAGGACTTTCAGATCAAATTAAACGAGTAGGTAAAAAATTTAATATTAGAACTATCTTCAGAACTGAAAATACAATTAGAAGTAAAATTTCAGTAACAAAACCTTATGACATAATTGAAAATACAAAAAATGTAATTTGTAAAATTCCTTGCGAATGCAATACATTTTATATAGGAGAAACCTCAAGACCATTACACAAAAGACTCAAAGAACACCAATCATACATAAAAAATCGAGAATATCATTAATCACACATTTGTCAACATGCATTTGATAATTGCCATAAAATTCAATGGAATAATTCCACAATTTTTCACAAAAGAACAATCTACAAAAAAACGTAAAATTAAAGAAAGTGCGCTAATTTTACTAAATCAAAATAATTGTGTTGTGTGTTGCTTATTTAATTTAAGTCATACATGGTTACCTAAGCTAAAATCTGAATTAGACCAGAGAAACATACACCCAAATTAAATTTACACCAAAATTATTAATTAACATTACCTTTATTAAGTTAAACAATGAGATTAAGTCAAAGTCACATAACTGACAATTTGCACAGACGAATTATCAAAGCGAATTTTCATATACTGTACTATCCTACTATTGTTACACAATTTATTAACATACTCCTTCTTAGGTTCATTTAGGTTCTTTTGATAGCGATAGCAGAAAATAGCTATCGAAACGTCAAGGTAATTTTTCAAATTAATTAATTTTCTAATTGGAATTTTCTCTTACAGCTTGAGCCTAAGTGTGTCGCAGGATACCCTCTAGGTGATAGTTCTTGATTACTTTTTGATAAATAATTCGTTCTTATTGCGAAATAGGAGCACTATTTATCAATCTGTAATAGAAGACGTGAGGAAATTCTCTTTTTTAAAGACAAAAATTTTTGAGGCAAAATACCCAACAAAAAGTTTGTAAAAAAATAAATGTGTATTATTTCTACTCTTTAATCTCGCATTAAGTTGAAAAACACTGAAACTTGACGGTGACTCGTTGTTTTTGCTAATCTGTCAGAGGTACCCATAGAAACAGCAAACTGAGATACTTTCGAACTTTTCGAAATAAAATTGAAACGGTTGAAGATGGGTATTGTTAGAAATTAGTTTATTATTTATTATCTGTGGGTGTGGCTTGTTGTGGGCAGCCACCAACATTTGTTATTAGTTCGAGTTTAAGGTTATTGGTTATAGTCAACTTTTATTGTTCATTTTCATTTGCTCAGTTGCTCATTCACGCTCATCATCTCTCGACCGATGAACAACACTCCTAAACTGCTTGTCTGTTTTTTAATTTGGAACAAAAGTGAATCATCCTCGCGTCCCAACCTCAGTGTTGAAGCTTCGCTGCTTCGTGTTTGCCATCCCACCGGAACCACGTGGTTACAAAAAGTTCCATTAAAAAGAAATTCGAGCACGTGCCTCCTTCAGGGGCACGCGCAAGTCCCTAAGGGCTTCGGAAAGCCCCTGCTCAGTCACCAGTGCAGTTCCAGGATAAGTTCGGGAGTTCATCGTTGGCGTTGCCTGCTTGAAATTCCGGCACTTCCTCCTACGTTTATCTTCAGCAAAAATGAGCGATTCATCCAGCGACAAAAGCCGCGATCGCTCCTCTATCACTTCTAACAGTGCTAGTATCTCGAGGAAAATGGGTAAGAACAAGTCCCAATCCGCAAAATTCCCTAACAGCAACCCTGACCTAAAGACTCTCAGAGCCGAAATTAAAGCCATGCGGCTTCGCAATTCCAAACAGGACGACCGCATTAAGGCCCAAGCCGCCCAAATTCAAGAGCTAACCCGGCTACTCACTTTGGAGTACGAAAAAAACACGTCCCTACAAATAGCCCAGCCCAAAATAACTTCAACTTCCCAAAAACTTCTAACGCGGCCCTCCACCATTACATGGTACAGCACGCGGACGCCCCCGAAAAAAACCCAAAACAAACCCCCCAACTTCTACCACCCCAACCCCGAAAGACTCTTCGGCCCCCAGCTCCCAATCGCCAAGTTCAGAACCACCAGCCCGAAAAACAGACATTCCCATCGGCATCCGTAATGTGGCTGAATGGACAAAAGTGCGGAATTTTCTCGCACAACACAACCCTAACTACCAACGACCACCGGGCAATCACAAAACTTTTCTCTCGTGAAAAGGTGGAATTCCACACGCACACCTTGCTTGAGGACAAGAAACTCATTGCCATCATCAAAGGTCGTCTTCACAACAAGATGGCGCTCTCTGAGATCCAAACCGAATTGGAGAAACTGGGCTTCCACCCCTCCCAAATGCAATTCTTCAAAATCGGAAACGTAAAAATCCAGACCAACATGGTTAAAATGCTCCTCCCAAGAGAAAAAACCCCAATTTTCCAGATTAAATACCTGCTTAATCTTGCCGTGGTCATCGAACCACAAAGAAACTCCCAACCAAACAATACCAGGCACTTTCCACAGTGCAAAAAGTGCCAAAAATTCGGCCTTATCATGTCCAATTGTGCGGCAAAACCCGCCTGCCACAAGCAATTGCGCTGAGGGCCACTTCTATCTAGAATGCAAAAAGCTTTGAGACATCCCGGCGAAATGCATCAATTGCAACGGCCCCCACCCGGCAAGCTATTTTGCTTGCCCAAAAAGCCCCAACTTTGTAACCCGAACCCAAATTAAACAGAAACAAGCCAGTTTCCAAAACAAGGTCGACTCAACCATTTCTTTCGCCGCCAAAGTGGCGCAAAAACCTTCACCCAAACCCCCAGCCCCCAGCGCAAATTCCCCCGTGTGCAGCAAGCCCCCGCTTCTTCTCCGGGCCCCCAAAGCGCCAACCTCAACCCGGCGCTCATCCAGCTGCTGCTTATGCCTGAATGCAAAATTCTGGCAAAAATCAACCGCATAGCGGCAATGATTAACGGCTGTCCCGCTCAACAAGCACTCGCATGCTCTCAAAGCCCGCGGGAGCTCACATCGTGTCCTGGAACGCCAACTCCCCAAAAGGTTTGAATTTGAAAGCTACCTCCGGGAAAATGATCTGGACATCGCGCTCCTCGGAAACTTTCTTGCAACCCCAAACGCAATACAGACTAAACAACTACAAAATCTACAGAAACGACCGCCCAACAACAAAGTCTGGGGGCACCGCCATTGTAATTAAAAGTTCCCGGGCCCACTCTCAAACTCCACCAACCACGAACACCGTCATTGAGCACACCTCCATTATCTTCAATATGGAAAACTCCCAAATACGAATAATCTCCGCTTANAAGTTCACATTTCTCAGCAAGACTGCCACAGCCTTCTCGACAACAGCCTGCCAACTCTTCTCGCATGCGACTTAAATTCAAAACACGTCTCTTGGGATTGCCGCAAAAACAACGCGCTCCTGGAAAATCTCCAAGGCTATGCGAGGAAAAACAAAAACGCACTTTCCCCCTATTCATGGTGAGCACGGGCTGGTCTATTTGGACGAAGAAAAAGCTGAAGCTTTTGCGGACTCCTTACAACGCCAGTTCCGAAAACGACAACCTAGATTTCGAGGAGGAGTTCGACAACGTGCTCAGCGAAATCGAAGACAAACAGATCCCCCCTGACGCCCCTCCAATTCCCCCCGTAACACTCTCCGAGCTTAATGCCCTTATTATAACGCCACCCTTAAAACTCGCACAAGTCCCGGTCCCGACCAAATACCTAACAAAATCCTCAAACGACTCCCGGAAAATATCCTCAATCACATCCTCACCCTAATCAATGCGTCCTTTTCACTATGGAAATTCTCAACCCCTTGGAAAACCGCCTCCGTAGTATTAATCCCTAAACCTTTCCTCAAAACTGGAGACCCATCAGCCTCCTTCCCACAATTTCCAAACTAACAGAAGAACTCTTTCTCGACCGCCTCCAAAATCTAATTTCAGAAAACCAATTAATCCCTCGAGAGCAGTGCGTATTCATGCAAAAACATGACTCCGTAATGCAAGCAGCCAGGCTAATTCAAGATGCCACTATTGCTTGCCAGAACAGATGCTCCACTGGAGTTGTCTGTCTGGACATAGAAAAAGCTTTCGATAAAGTATGGCACGAGTGGCTAATTTGGAAGCTCCTTCACACACACAAACGCCCATTAGCCTTTGTCCAGTGGGTGGCAAGCTACCTCCAAAAGAGGAAGTTTTTCACTCTACTGAACAAAATCAAATCCTCTATCCGCGACATTGAAGCGGGAGTCCCCCAGGGCTCCCCTC